AAAATAGGGTACTTTCTAGGATTGTTTTTGAAGATCAAAGAAGCTAGTGCTTATAAAAGCGCTTACAATGGTAGCCAGCATCTATAGGTGTCCAATAAACACTCGCTGTGGTTTTTATCCAGCAGATGAGGAAACAGAAGCTCAGGGAGGTTAGGAGCTGGAGGTTGTGCAGCCACCAGATGGGGGAGGCAAGACTTTAACTTAGGCTTTCTGCAGCACCAGCCACCGTTTCATCTACTACACCTCTCAGCTCTGTCATTGCTAGAGTCCAGCACTTCCTAAGACGTAAGGTGCTCCACAAAGTCTTCGGTCATGCACTGGCTATTTCTTGGCCCTTGGAACTGTAGATACAGTCTTGTCCTCCCTAGAGCTTTTGAATTCTGCTAGTTCAAATTCTAGTCTTTGAATTCTACTCTCTGTCATCTCTGCACAGCTGGCACTGGGCACAGCTCAGTGGATGAGTTGCCAAAGGGCCCAGGACTGGCCCCACTGACCCCTTCCTTTAGAGGTCCCATCTGGGAACTTTAGCTACAGTCAGGCCCTACCTCTATTGCACACTTCAAGTGCTGCCTCTCCCTCCTCTGGACCACCCCTAGGCCCCACTCAGAACATCCTCCCGGCTCCACCTGCCTTCCACCTGCTAGGTGGTCACCATCTACACCACCACTTCTGCAGTATCTCTTCCCCATGCCTGCTCGTCGGCCCCTGACTTCCCTCCTGGGCTCAGAGCTGCTTTCTACCCACTAGACGTTGCTCTGAGTGTGTGTGTGAGCCTGGGCTCCCTGTGTGGACTGTAACTTCCTGTGGGAAGAGCCGAATAGATTTATTTCTTTATTCGTGTATTTATCCATTGTGGCACTGGACATTGTACCCCACTGGGTACTAGGAAAATAGGGATGTGCAGAATGAGGGTGGTCCAGGGCTGGAGGAGGTCAGTCTAGGGGGAGACTGGCAGGCACACATCACAAACAATGATGATGAATCTTGGTGGGCACACCCAGCTACAGTGCCCAGCGACTGGGGCCCTCTCTCCCAGCGATGGGGTCAGAGATGAGGTAACACCAGAGCTCAGCTGTTAGCTTAGGATTGAATTGCTTACAGGGAAGATAACCCTGCTTAAGCCAGGTCAAAGAAAAGTGGGAGCAGGGCAGGATATTGGTGGGAATCAAGGGAATTGTTTAGAACAAAGAGCAAAAACTTTTCCCTGGAACCTAGAGAGTCGTCAGGGCTTTGAGTGTCTGTCCTCCATCCTACACTGCCCAGCTCTGAGCCTAGGTGACCTCCTCCAGCAGTGCCCCATGGTCTTGTGGTTCCAGTTTCCAATGCATGTGACACTCCAATTGGCCCAGCTTGGGCCAGGTGTCCATCCCTGGCCCCATCAGCTTTGGCCAAGGAAGCAAGGTCATCTGGGATGATGAGGCCACATCAGCCCCCACAGGGCTGCAGACAGGGACTGCATCTGTACAAAAGGATTGAAGGGTGAGTGTAATAGTGTCCTAGGGCGGCCATAACAGATCACTACTAACTTGGGGACTTGAAGCAACAGACAGTTATTCTCTCACAGCTCTGGGACCAGATATCCAGAATCAGGGTGTTGGCAGGATCGTGCCTACTTCAAGGGCTCCAGGGCAGAGTCCTTCCTTACCTCCTCCAGCTTCTGGTGGCTCCTGATGTTCTTGATTTGTAGCTACAAAGCTCCGATCTCTGCCTCTGTCTTTTCTCCTCTGTGTCCTCTCTCCTTGCCCTCTAAGAACACTTGTTATTGGATTTAGGGTCCACTCTAATCCAGGATGATCTTGTCTCAAGATCTTTAACTAAATTATACCTGCAAAGATCGTTTTTCTCTATAAGGTCACATTTACATTTTCCAGGCAGACATATCATTTGGGGACCGCCATTCAATCCACCAGAGTCTGACTGGTGGAGAAGGGAAGGAAGGACATTCCAAGGTGAAGGGACAGCAGAGTAAAGGATTGTCGCTGAGGAACACCGCTCCTTCCTGCTCCAGGAGCAGAGGGTTCACTGATGCCTACAGAGAAGGCTGAGCTTAGACTATAAAAGCCCTTCAGTGCCGCATAATAGCTTTGTCCTGTGGGCAGCCAAGGAATCATTTGTCATTCTTGACCCATGGAGGAGCATGATGAAAGTCCATGTTGTAGGCAGATCATCCTGGCTGCAGTGTGGAGCTACATGGGAGGCAGCTGGGAACAGAGGGAGGGAGAAAGCTATTTAATAAATGGTTATAAAGCACCTACTACGTGTCAGGCATGTTTTTAGAGACTGAGCAGATAGCAACAGAGAAAGGGAGACTCAGCTGCTGCCATATTAGGGTTCCCATTTGAAAAAAGGAGAGAGAAAAAAAAGGAAAAGGAAAGATATATATTGATCGTCAAAAAGGCAAATAAAGCAGAGAAAGGGGTGGAGCAAGGGCTGAAAGGGTTTATATAGGAGGTCAAGGAAAGCCTCTCCGGGAGATGATCTTGAGGAGAACCTGGAGAGAGGGAGGGAGGGAGGGAGGGAGGGAACTGTGCAGAGGGAGGGGCAAATACCGAGGCCTTGAGGGAGGAGCATGCTGGGTAAGTTCAGGGAACAGCAAGGAAGAGAGGGTGGCTGGGAGAGAGTGGGCAGGGAGGAGAAGCAGGTGGCAGCAGCAGAGAGGCGGTGGGGTGTAGGGGACTTTGTTGGCCCTGGTGAAACCTCAGCCTTCCTTCTGAGCAAGATGGGGAGGCTTGGGAGGTTTTAAGCAGAGGAAAAACAAACTCTTACTTAAACGTTTCTAAAGGATCACTCAAGGCTATGTGGGGAAAGCGATTGAGAGGAGTAACAGAGGGCTACACAAGAATGAGGACAAAAGATGGCAGGGCCTTGGACATGGCTGGCGGCAGTGGCGTGGCTAGACATGGCCAGATTCTGAATAGCTTTTAGACTGGAGTTGATAGGATTTGCTACGGATTTCATGCAGAGTATGAGAAAGAGGAGCCAGAAATGACTCCAGGGTTTGGGGCCTGAGCAGTGGGCAGGATGGACTTGTCATTTATAGAGATGAGAACTATGGAAGGCCTGGGATGGGGCAGGTGGGCCCAAAAGTTTGGAGACATCTTTGGTATCGGTGGTTCCAGACATATTAAGTTATTGAACTTTGCTTTGTGCTCAGAAATGCACTAAATGCCTCATAGGTAGTGACTCCTTTGCTGCTTACAGCAGCCCCATAAAAAATGCTCTTATCTCCCTATTGTATAGGTGAGGGAACTAAGGTACTAAAAAGTCAGTGAACTTGCCCAGGGCCTTCCAGTGAGTGAGCTGTAGAGCTAGAATTGAGTCCAGACATCCTTCTGTGTCCAGGCTCAAGTCCCTAACTCCTGTAGAGGACTGCCGCTTGCTGTGTGAAAGGTCCAGAGGAGAGGGCAGGACAAGGGATATTTATCTAGGAAAAAACAAATACCTATAGGGGATGCTGATATACCTTCATGTGCTCATCCCTCAGACTCACCTAGACTTCTTGGGTTTGAGGGAAAGCACTCAGTTGTCCAGCCCAGCCCCATCTAAGATCCTTTCTATAAGGAGGGTAAGGGAAGACCCCTCAGTGCTGATGCTACGTGTATTTGCCCTTTCCTCTTGTCTGTTTGTGAAATGCAGGCTTTGTTTCTATCTACTTACAAAAATAATGGCATGGAAGGAAAAGTTTCTGGGCCTTGAACCATTTCTAAATATTATTTAAAAAACAAACAAACATGGAAATCATCCTAGGCTCTGCTTAGCTGGGGCCAGTCCCAGAGTGCGTGTGAGTGTGGGGGTGTGGGGAGGACATAGTGGTGGCCTGTACAAAGCCTTCCTGGCACAGGCAGTGGCCCTGCCTCTGGGGCTTCATTCACTTGCTAGAAAGGACTCGCTCTAAACGCTCGTCTTTTTCTAAGGGAGTCCAGCAAGAACCCTGGAAAATGGGTCATTTCACTTCCCCCATTTTCAGATTTAGAAGGTTTTGTAATTGAAGGCCCTGGATGAGATTTGGATGTGGGTTGTGGTCTGATGTGACCTGCTGCTCATCGTAGGGTCTCTTAGGAGAGCTGAAAGATTGTTCTAGGAATTCCAGGGGCCTGTGGAATCATACCAAGTCAGACAAAGGCAACACATTAATCGAAATTAGTGAGAGGTGTGCTTTCAGGACTGGTTTCGAATTCTACGAGGTTTGAGTACCATTTAAGTACTCAGAATTACTCAGAGGGAGTTAAGCAGAGAGCTCTGGGTGGAGGGGGGTTGCTTTGTTGCCGAGTTAGGGATAATTTGTGACTGGCTTCTTGGCAGCACCAGCCATACTCCTTTGTTTGACTGTCAAGACTCGCCAGGGCCTGAGCCTACTTACTATTTTTTTTATTTCAAAATGTATTAGATACTGGACACTGTCATTTGCCAGGTAATTTGCTGGATGCTTTCACATTTGCTGCATTATGTAGCTTTTGCTGTGATCCTGAGTAAATGTGATGCCCCTCACTTACAGATGAAGAGACTGAGGTTCAGAGAGGTCAGCGCAATATTGGACTGATGAGAGTCAGAGCCCAACTCAGTGTCCAGAGCCCCTCTCAGACTCTCTCATAGAATTCTCCATTTTCCACTTTTCCCTTAACTGCCAGCTCACCCCTGCCCCTCCCAAGCTGCTTTAGCTAAATTCTGCCCAGTCCCACCTCTATGTTTTTGCTCCTGGTGCTGCCCCAAGTAGATATTTAATGTTGGTTGAATCCAAATTTCCAAGCCCTGTCCTGGTCCCTGCAAATTCTCCAGAGGCTCCACAGAGGGGAACTTCAAAGGCTACACAAAAGCAAGAACACTCTAAATTACCTCTGCCCAGAAGTGTGGCATCAAGAACATCCCGGAATTGGTGGAAATGTCTCCTCTAAGACCTTGGTCTTGTTTCTGTATTATCCTTTACGCACATGCTTTATCAGGCTAAATGCAATCCAAAAGGTGGGCCAGCAGCATGACCTCACCTGAGATCTTTTTTTTAAAAAAATATGGAACATTTCACCAATTTGCATGTCATCTTGCACAAGGCCATGCTAATCTTCTCTGTATTATTCCAATTTTAGTATACGTGCTGCCAAAGCAAGCACCTTACTTGAGATCTTGAAAGAAGTGCAGAAGCTCAAGCCTCCATCTGATCTGTAGACTTAGAATCTGCACTTTCACAAGGTCTGCACGTGGGTCTCCATTATGGTGAAGTTTGAGATGCATTGTTCTGGCTGGTACTCTCCCTCCACACCCAGGGGCTCAGGTTCCAGGCCAGGGAAGGATGGACAGGGCCAGCTCATAGCTATATTCTGTCCTACCTCCTCTCCAACCACTTCTCTTGGTTTGTATCACTGGGGGATTGGAGAGGGCACAGTGAAGATGGCTCCTGTCATCCTTCCCAACTGGCCTTTCCACTTCTACTCAGACAGGTCCTTGGGGGTGGCGGTAACTTCTTTGCCAGATCTCCCTTTGCCTACCCTTGGAACTGGAAGCCCTCTCAGCCTATAGAAAAGACAGGATCGTTGGCCCTTAGCTTCCCTGTCCTTGCTCAGTTAGGCCTGGGGACCAGCTCTATTCACCATGCCATGGTGAGCTTTGGGGAAGGCAGCCCCAGCTGGTGAGCAGAAGAGGTACTGCCCATCATTTGAGGTTGCACCGGGAAGATGACTGGTTCTGTTCAAACATACCTGACTGCTACTTAACCCAACCCCACAGGATTCCTGCTCCATCAGCTGATTGTACTCCCTGCCCCAAAGCAGGAGTAAGCAGGTATTTCTTGCAGCCTCACCTCTCTCCACTTACAGCTCGGCTCTTGTCCTTATCAGTCTTAGAGCCTCTAATGAATGGGTATGACTGGGATGAGAAGGAAAATAGTCCCACCAAGCAGGATTTGAGATGGGAACTCAGATTACAGACTTCATAATCACAGCTTGGAAGAGAAGCTTCATGCATAGAGGGAACCAAAGAGAAAAATATGTCATGCTTCTCGGAAACCTTTCAGCAGAGATTCTTCAGAGAAGATAACTGATCATGGAACCTAGTCTTGTGTCTTTATTATTCTAGGTCAGGAGGCTAAATGCAATCCCAAGAGCTAAAATGTATGGATGGTTTATTTTGATTCACAGAGTGTACCATGCACACCCATGCATTATCTCACTGTGTCCCCTGTCCCCTTATTTCACGGTTGATGGAAAGAACAGTACAGCGTAGTCATACAGCCAATAGAAGGCAGTTTTCGTATTCCACTCGGACCTCAAAGCGCGGTCTGCCTCATCACATTCTACTACATCCTAGCACAGAAAATGAGCTATTCTGGGACTTTCCAGAGCTCCATTTATCAACTAAAAGATAAGGATCCTTTCAGCAGAACTCATGCTTTAACGGTAAAAACATAGGTCCATTTATAAATGGTAAGATGTCATTCGGGCCGCTGCCTCTTTCCTTGGGTCTCAGTTCTCCTTGTCTCATCCGCCATTGTGCCCTCTCTTGAACTGTGTCCAGGTGCCAGCCGAAGCCCAGCAGATGTCACTGTGAAAAGAAAGTGCAAGGAGAGCAAAGCCAACTGCCTCGCGGTGCTTATTAGTGCATGAACACAATGATGCCCTTGATGCTTCTCAGAGGAAGGGGAGTGCAGGCCAAGTCCACTTGGGCATGTGAACTTATCTCCACACAAAGGTTCAATTGAAACAAGAGCATCCATTTATTTTGAGGAAACTTGTCCTGTGTCAACCACAGTCTGGGGGAGAAAAGATGTCCACATGCCATATGGGCAAGTCCCATCTCTCACACACACTCAGTCAGTCCCACAAAACCCACTTGTCCTGACGCTAGGAGACGTGAACTCTTCTGTCAGAAACAGGATTTCCTTCCCTTTCTTCTGATGCCAGCTGTATCCATTTCCCCTTGCTGCTATAAACAAATTAGCATTAACTTTCTGGCTTAAAACAATACAAGTTCATTGTTTTCTGGAAGTCGGAGTCTAAGATCCAGATGTCAGCAGAGCTGCCTTCTGTCTGGAGGTTCTAGGAGTAGAATCTGTTTTCGTATCTTCTCTGGTTTCTGGAGGCTTCCTGCATCCCTTGGTTGGTGGCTCCCCCAGTGGTGATCACTCACATCATTTTGACCTCTGCTGCCTTCACCACACATTTCCTTTCCCCATTCTTCTGCCTCCTTCTCCATCTTCAAGGGCCCTTGTGATCACATGGATCCCACCTGAATAATCTAGGCCAATGGCTCCAGTTTAAGATCCTGAAATTAATCTCATCTGCAAAATGATGCTGGTCATAAATCTATTCATGTGTTCAGGGGATTAAGTCACAGATATCTGTAGGGGGCTGTGAATCAGCCTAACACACCAGCATAAGCCTTTCTGAAAGCTGAAAAGACTTGTTAATCAAAGACAAGATTCAGGCATAGTTTAGCCATTTCTTTTACTACTAAAAGGACAGTAACCAATTTCAAATATGAGAATTGAAATGTAAATTGAAGTTAAAAGTTAAAAATTGAGAAAGAGAGGAAGGAAGGGGGAAAAGAGAACACAGAATCCCTTAGGAACAAGTCTGTAGAAACACAAGTTAAGGAATACCTTCTGCAAAAAGTGGGGGGTGGGGGGGAGACGGGTGAAGGAAGGAAAGGTGTTACAGGTGGCGGGAACGGTGTGGGCCTAAAGGCAAGATGAGGCTACAGCCAACTTGCTCATCCTGCTGCCGTAGCTGGTGGTTTGTGATCGGTTTTTCTTGGTAGACCCTGAGCTCCTTGAAGGCAAGGACCCTGCCTTCACTTCTGTGCACCCCTAAGAACTCAGCAGAGAAGACTAACCATGGCAAGCCTCAGTCAGCCTTAACTAGTGGGATTATTACCACTCCAGTCTAGAATCAACTGGACAACTGACTCTAGGCTATGTGCGCATCTATGTTCTCAGGGGCTCCATTCCCACTCTACCCACAAAACCTGAAAGGAAGGAAGAAGGGGCCACTCAGTTTGTCCATGTGGGCTCCTGTGCAAAGATTTGAACTTTTTTTTTTTTTGTAAAGACAGACTCTCACTTTATCACCCTTGGTAGAGTGCCATGGCATCGCACAGCTCACAGCAACTTCCAGCTCCTGGGCTTAGGCGATTCTCTTGCCTCAGCCTCCCAAGTAGCTGGGACTACAGGCCCTTGCCACAATGCCTGGCTATTTTTTTGTTGCAATTTGACCAGAGCTGGGTTTGATCCCACTACCCTTGGTATAGGGGGCTGGTGCCCTACCCACAGAGCCACAGGTGCCACCCCAAAGATTTAAACTTTAAGTCATGAGTAACTGCCACCTGTCAGTAGTAACAGCTAACTCTGTTAGCTCTTAACTTCATGCAGAGAACCTCTCATCTTCCCAGCAGTCTCCCAGGCCAGCAGGAAGTATAATTCCAATTCTACAGTGACAACTTCGAGGCTGTGTGCTCCCTAGCAGAACCAGGACTGAGAGATCCTTCATCAAGGATTGTTCTCCCTCCAGCAGGAAGAATGCTAGAAAGAAGCAATCCTTTATTTGATAGCAGTCACATCCCCAGGGGCATGGGTGGGGGTGACAGGGGATGGGGAACTCTTATTTTGGGGGTTCATCTCAGTTCCTGAAATAAATCCCTCCTATTTCATCTGCATTAGTGCAATTCAATCATTTTTTCTCTTTGTGGTTCAAGTTTATTCCAAAAAGGATTTGAGGAGGCTTAAAATGTATAAGTTAACACGGGGGAGTCAGAATCAAGGAGAAAGTAAAGCAGTGGGAACCAAGATTCTATCCAAGGCTATGGGTACCAGAGACTCATACATGCACAGATGTGGGCTGCTGTCAGAGCTCTGAGCTTTCTATAAAATGAACTCCCTTTTAAGTGTCAGAAATCTCTTACTTCTTTATAATGCAGGTAAACCAAAAAGAACTTCTCACAGATAAAGCACTTCAAATTTCATAGAGCTTTATCACAGCCTGTTCACATCCAGTTCTCACATGACCTTCAGTCTTAGGAAGGAAGTCTAGAGGTCAGTCTAATAGCAGCAGAATGGGGGTACTTGTTCTATTTCTATGGATGGAGAAATGGATAGATAGATGAAAAGAGAGATGGATGGATAAAGTGATGGAGAGATGGCTAAATGGATAAAAAGAGAGATGATGGATGGATGGATGGATGGATGGATGGATGGATGGATGGATGGCTGAAAGGAGAGATGGAAGGAGGGATGAAGATATGGGTGGACAGAGAGATGAATGGATGGATAGAGGGAGGGAAGAATAGAGAGATGACTGGGTGGAGAGATGCCGTGGTAAAAGTCTGGGCCAACTTGCCTACATGCCTGGACACTTAGCACTTTCTCATCTTTCTCCAGCCCCTTCCCAGATCAGAAAGACCCAGCTGGCTCCACAGCTGGCTGGGGTCTGCCTAGTGTCTGGGCTAAGGATATGAGAGGGACAGGAGGCTTTAGGGAAAGAAATCGTGTTTTTATCTTGCTTGTTATTATTGTTTTAAACATGCCTTCCTGTTTCTTTTCCCTGGCACCACCTCTGCATCAGCCAGGACTTAGGTGTGGATGAATCTCCTGGGAGGGGTTGTCCTTGGCCTCCCGGGCTAGGAGGATCCTGTGGTCTGCTAGGTGGCTGGAAAGGGAGCAATCCAATGCCCTGCTCAGGTTGTAGAAACAATGTCTTGATTGCGCGTGAGGAGATCTGAACTGTTCTTGGATTCTGCACCTGGCCTCCACCACTAACCCTTCCCAGGACTTAGTGGTCTCTTCCAGCCTAGGTTTCACTGGATCTAAACAACTTCAAAGTTTTCAAATCTCTGCTGTTTACTATCCGCATGACCTTTAGCAAGTAGTTAACTTCTCTGTGCCCCAGTTTCATCCACATATTACTTAGCTCAAAGGTTTCTAATGAAGATTAAATGAGATAATTTGTGTGAACTACTTAACACTGTGCCTGGCCAATTGTAAATAACTCATTAAATGTAAAATGGGTAAAACCAAAATTGTCTCTTCCACCTCACAGGTTTGCTATAGAACTCAAATGAGGCATTCACTCGTACAATAATTATTGGACACTTTCTATTTGCCCAGGTGCTGGGGCCTCAAAGG